CTGAACCCTCAACAGTCTGCAGAATCCCCTCGCTGATTACACTGTAAATGATAATCTACCTTAACCAAAATCAAAGTAGACTATCACTCACCCACACCAGATGGAAAACTCTACAGACTGTTGGTTCACACCCCATCACAAGCCAGCAAAACATCCACGAAACAAAGAAAGGTCTGTCACAGCCAAAAAATACACTCCAAACACGCCGCTGGCACTAGAGGCACAGCATGGCCGCCTAGTAACGGCCCCGACCACTGCCGCTCAGTGTCTTCTTCTTCTTTGTTTTAGTGTATTCTACTATTCTTATTGCTTTCAGTGTTTTACAATTTTTTTACATTGAACGAAGGATAAAAATGAAAAAACAAAGACACATTGAAATCATTCTCCTCCACTGTGCCTCTCACGTACAAGGCTCGCAACGTTGATGAAATTGAGTGTGAGCTGCCCCTATCCCCGTATGCCATAACAGCCGACTTGCACACTGTGGGAAAGAGGCGGAGTAAGGGGAGAGTTGTTAAACACAAGAGAGGGGCAAAAATGAAAAACCGATAGGCGAAGGGAAGGTGACACAACTTTCTTACTGTATTCTTCTTCCTTTCATAGTTTTGCAGTTTTGGTGAAGGGTCTACCACGTTCGCTTTTCAGCACACCTCCATTTTTGTTTTGCGTGTCTCTTTGCCTATCTGTCCTTTCATTTTTTCTCTTCTTCGCTCATCTTATTTCTTCATCTACTTCACGTGTTTGCACTCTTAGTCAATAGTTCTGTGACAATATATGTATATATATATATGCTGTTTGTGATGATATATATATATATATATATTTGTTTGTGACGATATATATATATAAACTCCGACGAAACAGTTTGTCACAGCCCCTCGTTTGTTGTCCTCTTCTCCCTCTCTGCCTACGGTTTACCAGGCAGTTCTATTTGACGATATATACATATATATACAGCCCCTCGTTTGTTGTCCTCGTCTCTCTCTCTGCCTACGGTTTTACCGGGCAGTTCTGATTGTGACGATATATATCGTCAAATACAACTGCCCGGTAAACCGTAGGCAGAGAGGGAGAAGAGGACAACAAACGAGGGGCTGTGACAAACTGTTTATATGAGTCGGTGAAACTCCGACGAAACAGTTTGTCACAGCCCCTCGTTTGTTATCCTCTTCTCCCTCTCTGCCTACGGTTTACCGGGCAGTTCTATTTGATGATATATATCGTCACAAACAGAACTGCCCGGTAAAACCGTAGGCAGAGAGAGAGAAGAGGACAACAAACGAGGACGATATATATATATATCGTCACAAACAGAACTGCCCGGTAAACCGTAGGCAGAGAGAGAGAAGAGGACAACAAACGAGGGGCTGTGATTATATATCGTCAAATAGAAATATATATATCGTCACATATATCATCAACGTGGCGAGCCTTGCACGTGAGAGGCACAGTGGAGGTGGAGTTCAAAGAAGAATGAGAAATTTAATGGTTTCAATCTGCCCTTGTTTTTT